AAAAATAGAGGCTGAGCATAGTGGCCCAAGCCTATAATCCTAGCACTCTGGGAGGCTAAGGAAGGAGGATCTCTTTGAGACCAGGAGTGCAACATTAGCCTGAGCAACAGTAAGACCCCATCTCCCCTAGGAATAGTAAAAATTAGCTGGGCATTGTGGCAGGGACCTGTAGTCCCAGCTACTCGGGAGGCAGAGGCAGGATTGCTTGAGCCCAGGAGTTTGAAGCTGCTGTGAGCTTCAATGATGTCATAGCACTCTACCTGAGGCAACAGAGTGAGATTCTGTCCATATCAGTGGTTCTCAACCTTCATAATAATGCAATGTATTTTCACTGTTACAAAGGGTTCATGACCCACAGTTTGAGAACCACTGGTCTAAATAAATAAATAAAATAGAAATAGAAAAACAAGACCTAGAATTGGGCTTTATTTCACAGGCCTTCAGGGAAGAAGTTGCTCCAACATTGCCACAATACCTTTAGTTTAAAGTGAGCATTTCTAACAGAGCATAAAGTCTATACCTGAAGAGAGGCTGAGCTGTCCTGGGAAGGCTCAGGAGGATAATGCACCTTTGAGGCTGAGGCAAAGGCAGACTGTGGCTAAAAGCCTCCCCACCCTAGTCTCTCCTTGAAGCTAGACACTGGGGTGTGGAGCATTATAGAACCATAAGCAGTATAAAATGTTGAACAATCACTTTTATTAGAGGGGTCAGGTGAGGGGTTAGGTCCTGGATCACACGTCCCAGAGCAGAAAGCAGTACAGCAGATGCTCGTCAGCCACACTTTGGAGGGCCTCTTCCCCACCACATTCACTACCATGCTTCCTTAAGCTATTCTGACAAGGGGGCACTGGAAACACCAGTGCTCCCTCTGATCTTCCAAAATGATTCTATACCCTTTTGAGGTGAGGTCCAGAAGATAGAATCCTAAAAGACAACTAAGTGTCTTTCAGGATTCTAAACTATTAGAGAGCATTCTTAATTTTGTGGAAAAAGAAGAAACAAATCTGAATGCTTCTGAAGGGTTTCAATTAGAAACAATGCAAAGACAGTCCTGCAACTCTCCAATGAGGTACCAGGAGCTCCCCAGACACTCACCAAGGAAGTAGTTCATCATCTGTGGCGTATGGTGAGGGGTGGGGGCAATCCGTAGGAGCTCTTCACCCCGGGGCACCGTAGGGTAATTGATTGCTTGGACATAGATGTTATGTCTGCTCATTAGTTCATCACAAATTTCTGTGTTTTTAGCAGCATCTGCAACCTAAGTTTGATGAGAGGAGAAGGTAAGTTCACAATATGGATTACTTAGCAGAGATGCTAAAGAACAGTGTCCACAAGGCTTAGGGTTAAGACCAGACTTTAATAATATATGTTAAGCTTGAGGGAGTAGGAAAGCACTACCAGAACACCTGCAATGTAAAGGAGCTGGCAATGTTCCGGGAGCACCAGAGAACCAGAACTATATAAGAAAGAAGTAAACTTCACATTGCTCTCCTCCCAGGCCTCACCTGGGGTAAATAGTCCTTCTGTTCATACCAGCTAGCCCTCTCACCTAGGATCTATGGCCTAGCTTCTGTCACACTGGCTCTATTCATTATTCTAATTCAGCTGTGACACCCACACGTTACAGTGTGTAGTGGGAAGGGCATGACCTATTTCAAAATTTACAAAGTAAAAAGCCATACTTCAAAGCTGGCCAAACTCTAGCTTCTGGAGCTTTCTAAATACAATCTCTGTGCTTACTCTGTTAAGGTCAGTGCTCTGGAAAGGGAACCTCTGTTCCAGCCTGCTGGGTTCAAAGTCTTTATTTTCACTGTGAAGCCAGCCAAAGGTAGAAACATAGCACAGGGCTGTTGGCTACAGCCCTTTCCCTGACAGTCACCCTGCCCAAGCCCTTTAAGAAGGTGTGAACCAGAATATGTACACGTCACATGTGAGACACAGCCCTCAGCATGTCTAATCAAAGACAGTCTTTACCCTAACAGGGATGATATGACTAGGGCAGTGGACGACCGGGAGGCCAGCATCCATTAGCATCTGCCTCATGAGCTTGACATTGCGCTGGTGCTGGCGGCGAAGTGCCCGCCCCTCGGCACTCTTCAGGATCCGCACGGACTCCAGGGCTCCAGCCAGCAGCATGGGTGGCAGAGAGGTGGTAAAGATGAAACCAGCTGCGTAGGATCGTACGGTGTCGATCAGAGAGCTTGTACTGGCGATGTATCCTCCAACACAGCCAAATGCTTTGCCTGGAAGGATACAGCTTCATTTATTACAGCAACAACCACTAAATATACGCAGGAAGCTGCTATAGAGCATCAAAGCATTTACTTTTTGCTTATCTTCTTAATTCGTCCCAGGACTGAAAGAAGTACAGTACAGTCATACACCACATAACATCTTGGACAGTAACAGACTACATATGTGATGGTGGTCCTATAGATCTTCTTTTTTAGAGACAGGGTCTTGCTCTGTTGCCCAGGCTAGAATGAATCATCAAGCTAAACTCCTGGACTCAATGGATCCTCCTACTTCAGACTCCCAAATAGCTGGAATTACAAGCACATGTCACCACATTCAGCCAATTTTTTTCTATTTTTTGTAGAGATGGGCTCTTACTAGTCTCAAACTAGTCTTGCAAGGCTGGTCTCAAACTCCTGATGTCAAATGATCCTCCTGCTCTGGCCTCCCAAAGTGATGACATTACAGGCATGAGCTATTGCACCTGGCCCCCTAAGATTAAAATGCCTTATTTTAATCTTCTACGTTTTGTTCTGTTCTTCGTTCTGTATTCGTTCTATGTTTAGACATATTTAGGTACGCAAATACTTACCATTGTGTTATAATTGCCTGCGGTAGTCAGGACACTCAGACGCTGTACAGGTTGGTAGCCTAGGAACAATGGCTATATCATATAGTATAGATGTACAGAAGACTATGCCATCTAGGTTTTTTGTTGTTGTTGCAGTTTTGGCCAGGGCCAGGCTTGAACCCACAACCTCCATATGGGCCTGGCACTCTACTCCTTGAGCCACAGGTGCCGCCCCACCATCTAGATTTTTGTAAGTATACTGTATAGTCTAGGATGTTCACACAGCAATTAGATTATCTAATGATGTGCTTCTCCGAACACATCCCTGTCATTAAGCAACACATGACTGTAAAAGAATGCCCACCCATTTTAAAAAGGGAAAACAGCTGAGAAAGGTTGTGAAAGGGTTTTGCCCAAAACCACATGGCCAAGCCGTGACTGATCAAGATCGTAACACAAATCTTCAAATGAGGCCTGCCAACCAGGGTGCTCCAATGTCCAGTGCTGCTTCTCTTCCCACCATATTATTCTCACCTGCCTTTCCCCCCTTGGTTTACTACTCTGTCAGCCAGCAAAACTCTGTTTCCTGTTTTCTGCCCTGACTACATTCTCTGGAAGAAGATTTGAGTTGCAGTGCTTGTACCATCCTCTCACTATGAACATTACCCTTGAGGCTGGAATCCTACCCAGCTAAAAGTGTTAACTGTTTTGGTATGACTGGTGTTATTTCCTACTTAAGTAAAAACAAAACTCTTAACAATCAGTATTTGCCAAATAAATATGAAAACTTGGAACCTGTTAGGATTGATTTACGGCCAGACTTTTTTTTTAATTCTAGTTGAGTCCCTTTGTATAATCAGTATCTCAAGTTTCAGGATTAAGAACTCTAGAAGAGTCCTCACAGATCTTAACATTATGTTCCGTAATTAACATTTTTGCTGAAACCACACATAGGGCTGGGTTGGTTCAAACTCCTACACTGGAAAATCTCTCTCTCCAGCCTTTTCCATCTCACAATGACTGTACCTTCAAAGAGCCCATGTCATGAGAGCTCTTTAAAAGAAAAGAGCAGCTGGAATTAGGATACATGAACAGGTGATTTTCTCAGGCAGGGCTCCACTCTAAAAACCCCAGGCTCTCTGGTTTTGCACAAGGCTTTCACATCCCCTTGACAGTGCTGAAAGATGCTCTCTTTTGCCTGCCCTTCCTTTACCAAGTGTAGGCTATAAATTGGTATCTGGGCTGCTAGATGAGTTTCCAACTACTTACCAACTTTTGAAGGTCTATTTTATTTATTTTTTTATTTTTTGAGACAAGAGTCTCATTCTGTTGCTCTGCAGCTGAGTACTGTGGCATGATCATAGCTCATAGAAACCTTAAACTGCTGGGCTCAGTGGCTCATGCCTATAATCCTAGCACTTTGGGAGACCAAGGTGGGTGGATTTCTTGAGCTTAGGAGTTCCAGACCAGCCTGAACAAGAGTGAGACCCCATCGCTAAAAATAGCCAGGCATTGTGGTGGGCACCTGTAGTCCCAGCTACTTGAAAGGCTGAGGGAAGAGAATCACGTGAGCCCAAGAGTTTGAGGTTGCTGTGAGCTATGACAGTACTCTACCAAGGGAAACAAAGTAAGACTATCTCAAAAAAAA